ATCGTCCTTTGCGGGCGGGACGTCGCACGCGACGCCCAGCAGCGCGGCAAATTACGATCCTCTTGTCACATACCCCAGCTGAGGCCACTAACGTACCACTAGCTGGTTTTTGCATGTCACTGAAACCGAGATCTCCCGACCCTCACTTCGTAGGCCACACATCTGGAAGGAGTAAAAACGTTGGAAATGAGAAGACCCTCGCAATCATTGTGGAGCCTAAGTGGACGTTGAAAGCCCATGACTTGTGGCAAAATTCACATGCGTGGCGCATACCAAAGAAGAAAGACCAATTCTGACTGTTGTTCAGTACCTAAGGGTTAGCTCACCTCATGCGCAGTCATCCACTGAAGATCGCAACCGCACTCGAGTGTGTTCTCCTCCATACGTGTCTGAACTGCTGTCGATAGTAATGACTCAACTGTCTGAAGTGTCTCGATGTGATTGCGAGCGATTCGTATTCGTCCCAGATTCACGATCGCTGGAAAGTATTGATCAGTTGCATTCAAATGAACATTTCATGGTAATCGAATAGGCGGAGACTCATAACCATTGTGTTTTCATCGTTGGTGCGTTAATCCTCTCTACGGTATCAGAAACAGAAGCGCACCAACTGAGAAGGCTTAGTGGCTGTGATCTCCGTCAGAATCTGCGCCCTTTCGATTAGCGAGAATTCATCTTTGAATAGTGAGAGTGTCAACTAGGTCCCAGAAAGTGGAAGGTACCAGAACAAGGTTAAATGTTGTGTTGCCAAGGACCCAGGTCACGATCACTGTCCTAGTCGTCCCACACGTCAAAATTCTGTCGAACCATGGGCCATCATATCGATTGGAACTATTGGTTTTTGTCTAGAACGCCGGTAGACCACACTGAACCATTCAACTCTTCAATTACTTGAATCAGCCGCTATCACACCAACCCGTTTGCCGGCTTTATCACTGAAAAGACGACTTTGACAGCGTTCAGACTTCGCGACGGCAGCGCTTCGGTCGCGCGTTCGACGCGATCGATGCAGTCGAAAGCATGCGCATCGATCGCGCCAACGCGCGACCGAAGCGCTGCCGTCGCGAAGTCTGAACGCTGCCTAAGACGAGCATTTGTTCAAAGAACAGTACGTGGTGATCGCGTGTGCGGAGTTGGACCTGATACTGTGTTCCCCTCATTGGCTTGTCCTTCCTCTTCATTCTCTAATGAGGAGGGACATACCAAAAGAAGAAGGCGTCTTGACAAGCACAACTCCGCCCACACGGTCAACGTGGACGCGCCTTTGGGTCTGCCTAGATCGTCCAGGCCATTCTCTCTTATCCCAAAAAACAGTCAACTCACAAGCAAATGCTCTGGCGGCGATCATTCCAATCTGATTGTCAAACAGTTCCACCGTCTCCACTGTGCTCATACCGGTGAACGCATCTGTGCTGATCGTTGATATTCGACTTCGTTGAATCAAAACCTAAAAATAATAGACGCAGTCATAGCGATCGATAGTCAATACTTTCATCACTTTGTTCATTCTCTGAGAAAGATGAAGCCTTACATATCGGTCTCGCAGGAGTCCTAAGGCAGATATTAGGAGCTCCATTGTCAGTTCTGTGACACTTGCGAACTACATCGCTTCTAAGAAAAAAATAAACATTGTTTAAGGATTTCGCGTCTGGTCACTGTAACATTTTCATAAGAGTTCCAGGACTCGATTTTACAGATTACTGTTTAGAGGGAAAAAGGAGAACATTCAGCTTGAATCTTCTGTTCAACGAAATCTGTTCCAACCCAAGAACGCTCTAATCGAAAGTTCGATTTCCGCGTCGGAAAGATGCGCACGGTGTTTTTATTGTCTTCCGAGCTTACTTTTTTGTGACCATGCGCAACAAGTCTCCCCTATTTATCCGAGCCTTAAGACCATGTTAGCTATCCACTAATAGTAGTTCTCGTCCATTGTTACTTGTGTGACATCACAGCCTAAAGTAAGGTATCAATTCTGTTTCATCGACAGTTGCCGGTCGTATACAGGATTTCTTATGGCAGTTGTCAGTATCACATTACGAAACAGATGCGAAGCGCTGTGGTCGATGTTCGCAAGCCTTTCGAACTCCTCGAATTTCATGGGATAACGGGATGTTACGACGGGAAGTAAGTCTTGTTCTACATCGGCTCAGCCCTCGCCTGAGGATAGTCAAACCTTTTTTACGATCCTTTCTTCGCACAGGAAACGAAAATCGTTGCGAGAGAGCAGTGTGTAACATCTGGGTCCAACCCATTCAACACGTTGCCGCTACAATAGAGAACTGGCAGAAAAAACAAGAGGAATAGACGCAGCGGGGCTACTATACCATTTGGAAGCTAGTACCTTAAGCTGTGTATCTGTGAAATTTGGCGAACCTAGCCCCAGAAGAAGTTCTCGAGAAATTGAAAAGAAGCCCGAGTGGTGAAAATCGGCGCCGGTTTTTCAAATCAGACGTCATAAGAGGAAAGTGCGCCGCTCAAATTTGACCTGCGCCGGACCATAGTTGTGTGTAAGGGTGTTCTCGAAATACACGGTGGAGCTCTCATGGTTCAGGAGCCCGTACAAGGAAGAAAGGAAAAAATTTGTTGTCGTGGATGGTCCCATAATATTCATCCTGCACAAGAAAAAAGGGTGGATGAAGTCAGGCACTGAATATCTGATCACAGAGCCTGGACCCTTGTCGGCTTCCCCGCAAGTCTGACATCCCTTAGCTGCAATTAGTGTTATGTCCGATAAACTGAGGATGGTCAAGAGGGTGGCGCATGGGTACCTAATTTTCTTATAGAAGCACGAACGCAGTACCGATTCTATACCTCTAGCAGTAATGTTCTCAGCATGAGATGTCACTCACAACTGTGAAAACGCACCCAGGCCTTAGATGAAATATGGGGTGGTCTCGGACCTCGAGCCGAAACTCACAATCGTCAATTTTGTATGAATGCAGATGAGAAGCCGCCCGAGTTCTACCATGAAGAGTTACGTGGGCGCAAGTGGATGATCATCATAGCAAAGGATTCCCACACTGTGGCTTTCAAACGCGGCTCTATACAGAGAACAAATCCGTCGCTGTCGGTGCATATCCTGTTCCTCGGCATTCAGATCGACAAATGGATGCTACCACACAACTACAAGAAGGCCACCGTTGCGTCATAGTACCAGACCCCGAGTAACTGTATTGTAGATCAGTGCTGGGACACAAACAATACTGAGACCTGGGTTCAATCGCCCCATTCGCCCGTCATAAAGCCATGCGATTACAACTGTTCTATTCCAGTAGAGTACTCTCCAACGGCAGACGCTACAATGTTTGTCATTTGCCGAAATTGGCAACAACAGCAATTTACCCACACTTGTTGAAAAATCGAAGGTACCAGAGGTCCAAAGGCCCTCGGGGCACTGGGAGCGGGTCATTGGTGAAGGAGGGATTTACTCATCCTAAAGCTAAAATATCACTTTTCTATCTATTCTCCTCTTTGCTTTATTCAAAAAAAACCAGCGGCACGTTTGGAATGGAATCCTAATGAACATCGCGCCCGTGGTGTAGTGCGGAGAGGGGGGGCATTTTGTACTTACATTGCTTTCCCTATTTCCGGTTTACCCATCTCACGCCATGGCGAAACTTGTTGAACGTCTTTCGAAGCGTGGGTTTGTTTAGGCTCACGCATCCTTAAAGGTGTGTCACCTCAAGAGAAGGCTACCTAGATGGGACGGCACATCTATGAAGAGCCTAATGCCCCCCCCCGTCGACAAACTGCGCCTGAAAATCTTGAATAGGGCGATTATTATTTTTGAGCTGTTGAGGCGGATTATAATTTATTCTGTGAATTGATCAGTTCACTTTTATAAGAGTATTGGATCAGCACCTATATGCCCGTTAGCGCTACAGTGGCCTCTTGAGACGACACGAGAGTGGGAAGGAGGTCTGGGGTGGATAAGCCATTCGCCACCTTATAGCTTGTAAAATCATGAGTGATAACCCACACCGGAGCTTCTTTCCCTTCCCAAAATTGTAGACTACTGTATAAAGACGCAAAACTGCAGACCGATTTCTCGAAGGCGAATAATGCCAATGTTCCCAAGGAAAGTATTTGCCGCCTTCGGAAGGCAGAAGGTGATTGGCCTGGACGGGGCCGACACGGGATTTCGCCTCCGTGCCGCGCCCATGGTAAGCGTGCCGAGTGCCACTGCACCACCCCCGCTTGGCAATACTGCATGGGGAAATAAACTGAGAAAGTACGAAGAACTTCAATTTGCAGACAAAACGGAGAAGGCCATGTGATTCCCCGGCCTGGAAAAATTTCGAAAATAAACTTCATTCATATTTCTAGAAGTTCTACCCCAAACTTGTTTCAGAACAGGGTATACGCTGATTATGTAGGCGGAGATCATTGTATCTTCCTCATTGATGTCCCTTGCTCTTTCCAAGATGTTAAACAGGGGGGGGGGGGGAAGACAGTAGTTGCCCCTTCAGGGCACAGCACTGCCTCAAGGCCACAACACTTTGTTAAGTGGTCAATGACGGTATGAGTTCTGAACACCTCCATCCTACCATATTCCCTGAGTTCTCCATCTTCGCCACCATTTCTCTAGTTCATACAAATTATTCCGTCGAGAAGTCGGTGGGGTTCCTTACCTAAACAATCTGCATAATTTCAACACCTAAAACAGCGTAGTTGTTATGTTCTAAGCTTCCACGTGCAGTCATTATAAGAGCGTCTTAGGGACAATACCTCCCCTAGTGGGTGAACCACCCCACCCCCCCCTCCCCAGCGATCAAGTAGAGCTCCCTGATGGGATTCTTCCGACGATGCTGTACCCTGTCTCTGTCTCCGCCCATACGACCAGCATGGACTACACCTTTTATAATCAGTTTTCATGCACCACTCGGGTGATGTATGTCCTTCTTTACAAACCAAGTACTAAATTGACAAGAAAATAAGCAAGCATTGAGTAAATGAAAAACCGCCTCAGTACCCCAGAAGTACTGATCAAGTCAACGAACTTCTATAGGCCGGCAGCAGATGAGCAAGCCTCACTTTATCCCTTTAATTTGTGTAACGTTGATCGGACATTCGTTCGTTGCCGCTGGATTACAATTTCCCGTGACGAAGTTTCGGCCTTGGCGGTCAGCCTGTCGTCTCAGTTGACAAATGGTCGTCGACGTTTGTCATTTTACAACATCATAAAGGTGAAGTGATTACGTGTGTTGAAAGGTGTTCCACAACTTTTACCCAAGTGTCAGAGATTGAGCAGAGAGGATGGAGTGCAGGTTTATAAGTGATTGTATGGGATAAACCTGTTCACAGAACCTAGTAATATAACCAGCGTGGACCAGGAGCGGGTGGCGAAAGCCCGATCGTAAAATACTTCAGGATAGTTTTATTGCTGAGAAAAATCAACTATAAAAAGCCGTCATTCATCAGATATCCCGCGCCACTTATCACCTTGGCCATTTTTACGAGAAACACCTGTCTTTGTTCTGGCGGAATATTTCTACCGAACCTGCCTTTTTTGCATTTATTACGATTCAATAGCTAAATGGCCGAAGACAAGGCAGCAATTCCCTACGGTAGACGACTACCACAATAACTGCATTATGCCAGTTTAGAGGTCTTGATGCGAAAATGTGAA